CCCCCACACACCCCCCAGGCTGTCTTGCTCTCTCGTGGGTTGTTTAAATCAATTTTCCTTTTGTGTATTTCAAGCTGTTGTTAAAGGTAGAGCAACTGTGCTTGCTACATGACCGGTTTCACCTGTTCCCCCATGTTTGTCTTGTGTGTCTTCTTGAATGGGTGTAACTGCCCCATCCCCCCTTCCCTGAATGTACAGCACCTTGTGAATTCATTTCTGTGAAAGGCGCTATATAAATAAAACTTTACTTACTTACTCACTCATCAATGCAGAATTGTTTGTTTCAGATGAGAGGTGTTTGAGGGGTTTTCTTATGTACAGCCTGTTGCAGCGTCTCAATGGGATTAAGATCTGGACTTTGACTCCACTTCTTAGTTCCAGCCAGTCCTTGGAGAATTTACTGGTATGTTTTGGGTCATCCTCATGTTGCAGGGTCCAGTTCTGCTTCAGATTAAATGTCTTTACAGATGGTTTCACATGTTCCTCAAGCACCCTCTGATACGCAGCTGCAGCAAACCATGACACTTCCACCTCCATGTTTTATTGGTACAAGGTTCTTTTCTTGGAATRCTGTATTTGGTTTACGCCAAACATTTCTGTTCTGGTGTCCAAATAATTCAATTTTAAAACATTATTCCTGAAGTCCTGATCTTTGTCTACGTTCTCTTTAGCCAACTTCAGTCTGGCCTTAGTGTTTTTTTCAGAGAGCAAAGGTTTCCTCCTTGCACACGTCCCATAAACGTTAAACTTGTGCAGTCTCTTTCTGATGGCTGAGTAATGCACCATCATCAACAGTAACAAGCTGCTGTAGGTCTTGTGATGAATTTAACGATGAATTATTGCTAGAAAAGATTACAACCATCTATCAAATACATTATTTTGTAAACTGAAAATTTTGAAAGTCTATGATTTGGTTGACTATAATATTTTACTGTTTATGCACAAGGCTCATAAAACATATTACCTTCCAACATTCAGGTAAACTTTGTTAGGAGAGACACTTGTTATTATCTTAAGGGGATGGAAATATTGGTGAAACCATATTTTCATACTTGCTTGAGAGAAAGATGTACTTTAATCCAGGGTATAGTTTAATCCAGGGTATAGTTTAATCCAGATTATAGTTTAATCCAGGGTATAGTTTAATCCAGGGTATAGTTAAATCCAGGGTATAGTTAAATCCAGGGTATAGTTAAATCCAGGGTATAGTTTAATCCAGGGTATAGATAAATCCAGGGTATAGTTTAATCCAGGGTATAGTTAAATCCAGGGTATAGTTAAATCCAGGGTATAGTTTAATCCAGGGTATAGTTTAATCCAGGGTATAGTTAAATCCAGGGTATAGTTTAATCCAGGGTATAGTTAAATCCAGGGTATAGTTAAATCCAGGGTATAGTTTAATCCAGGGTATAGTGTAATCCAGGGTATAGTTTAATCCAGGGTACAGTTTAATCCAGGGT